AGAAATAATGTTGTAACACCGAAACATTACGTTACATGAACTCAGGCATTTATGAAATAAAGTGTGGCCGTGAGTAAACGTGTTAATTTTCTTTTCTTTTTTTCACATTTGTGTTTTGAAATCTACGAACGCGCTACTATGGAACGATTCAAGTTAGTTTCAATCAACACGATTTTAACAACTTGCGTACAAAAAAACGATTACTCGAAATGATTTGAACACTGATTAGATAACGAAGGAACAGGATCAATCATTTGAAAAAATATATCTAAATAAAAAATAAATTATCAAAGATTTTACTAAATTATCTTCGTTTCTGGAGTTCCGATGTCAATATATCTAGCTTTCCGGTTGGGGCTGCGGGTCGGAAAGTCCAATGTTCGATATGACACTGAAAAGGCTCCGCACTTCCAGCTGTGGAGGTATTATATGTGTGACAGTCAAATCCGCTACTGGGTGGCCGTTTAGCCCTCCCTCAAGTCAGCAGTTCTAAATTAGGGACGATTATACCACGTCTGAACATTAGCGGTCTCTGACCTTACTGTTGACCCATGAGTCGAATAAGGTGCCGTTCACGTTGAAAATACTACACTAATCTCGCCACATTTAGAAACTTAACAGCTATTCAAAATCAGATGATGTTTTATTAAAGTTCACGTGTGTGTGGGGTACAAACACGTGGTTATGAGTTTTGTTCCACGTTAACGTATAAAGAACGGCGCCCCCCCCCCCCACGTGGCACAGCGGCATGACTGCGAACTTACCACGCTAGAAACCGGGTTTCGATACCCGTGATGGGCAGAGCATAGATAGCCCATTGTGCAGCTTTGTGCTTAACTTCAAACAAACAAACAATAAAGAATGGCAAGCATTCTACGTATCTGTCCAAGTCTATATATCGTCATCTCTGCGCATGACTCAACGAGCTGCCCACTCTTACCTAATATATATACTTTACTTATTTTATTCCATTTACAAAATACAAGTTGATTTACTGCGGTAAGTATTCAGAATTTGCTCGCAGTGTCCACATCTCATGTTTTAACATCTTAGCACCTTTTCCCGTGTCTTAAAGTCTCAATATAACTTACTCTTCTGAGTTTTTTTTTTTTTTCCTCACGGGATAGCATCTTTAAATGACGTGTTTCCATTAGTGACCTATTAAGCCAATCACACCGAGCGTGGCATCAGAGCCTCTGTTTGATCTATGGGTCACTATAACCATCAAAATTAGGTCAATTGTAGAGCACGTACATGTCATGTTCACATTGTTTTGTATGTGTCTGTCAATAATGCCTTGGTAACAACCCTTTATGTGTCTCGAGGCTGAAACACTTGGATCATCGAAATATTTCTTTCAACAACTTCCACGTTAAAATCGAATGTGATGATTACTCACAAATAGTAATGTGTAGTTTATCTTTCACTCCATAAATTATTTACTAGTTTTACACCTTGGTTAATGTGTCACCCATCTATCCATTTACTAGTTACTCCTTGGTTAATGTGACACCCCATCTTTTCTTGCACTAGTTTTACTCCTTGGTTAATGTAACACCCCATTTTTTCTTGTACTAGTTTTACTCCTTGGTTAATGTGACACCCCATCTTTTCTTGCACTAATTTTACTGCAATTAAAAT